TGTGCCCGCCCTGCCCTGCTGGGGAACAGGGCGTATCCGCTCTTTGAAACTTTAGCTGCTTAGATTTCTTCTTTTCTTCTTGAGATTTTGTTTATTGGAGTTTCTTCCCGCTTCCCCTCCCCGCCCCCCGCTCCCCTTCGCTCGGGCATTATTAGGTTTTCAGGTTTCTTGCTTTGTCAGCTGAATATATGTAAAATAAGATTTTAAGAGCAACCTGTTTTGCACTTAAACTACCCCTTGATTTGAAGGCATAGAAAAGATTCAGAGGTGTGGGAAGATGCTGTTTGGGAGCTATGACAGAACCAGGAGAAGTTGGCATGGGTTTGCATCTCCTTATTTCCAGACTTCTGATGAAGCTGGAGGAGATGTTTGGGTTGGGAGGTTGTCATTTCACTGTGATTTTGTGCAGCCTCATTAACTAGATGTTCCTTAGGGGTCACTCATAGGCAGTTGCCCTTCAGATAGTAATTAGCCTATTTCTGAAGTACCTCCCACGGACATAAAGAATTATTGCAGGGTGGTGATATTTTCAGTTTTGCTGTATCTCCTGGGCTTTTTAAAATGGCTGTAGTATTTAATGCCTGAGACATTTGACTCTTCTAACTACTTTTTATTGAAGTAAGAGACCTGAATTTGATGGTGACCTTTCAGGAAACTGAAAAGTAGTTGGGTAGCTGAACAGGCTTCAGGGTGTGACATAAAGCCTCGTGAAGTGCAATGTATAATACTGTTAATATTCACTGGCTTGTAAGTTTGCAGCAGTAGATACTTTAACCCTGCTTTTTAAAACTCTGTTTCAGGTTCAGCTGTTCTGGCTCTTCTGTTAGCTGGCTATCTAGCACAGCAATACTTACCAATGCCTGCACCGAAAGTAATCGGGATTGATCTTGGCACAACTTACTGCTCTGTTGGTGTCTTTCTTCCTGGAACGGGGCAGGTGAAGGTTATTGCAGACGAAAATGGGCACAACAGCATTCCAAGTATAGTCTCTTTCACGGACACAGACGTGTATGTAGGATACGATGGCCTAGAGCTGGCTGACTCAAATCCTCAGAACACCATATATGATGCAAAAAGATTCATTGGGAAAATCTTCAGTTTGGAAGAACTGAAAAGTGAAAGTAGCAGGTATCCCTTTAAGGTGAGTAGCCACCTCCTTCAGTTCTCTCCAAGCAGTAAGGTATGGGATGCTTGAAACATGTAGTAGGTAACCAGCTTGTCTGACCTTGAGTCACTTGGCTAAATCTGATACGTCTGAAGACCATAAGAGGTATCAATAGAGAGGAGGAGGAAACGGTTGTGGAAGCAGCGTACCTCTGTACGAGAGCTGATAGTGATTTTCCAGAGGACCCTTTCCTCTACTGTGAAATGTGTTTCTGGGTAACCTTCCAGCCCATTCTCTTAAAGTATAAATTTCAACTTGAAATTCTAACTGTGTAGTTGCTGAAACTTCAACTCCCCTGGTAGTCTAAAACACACACACAAAAAGAAAGTCTGAAAGTCACATCTTCCTGTCCCAGTGCATTTTTTCCCCTCTAACACATTTCCAGTGCTTACCAGACCAGCAGCAGATTTTGAAAGCTGCTTTGTAAAAAGAGTATTGCATTAATTTAGTATGGTGCAGTATTTGCTGTAAGAGAAAAGTTTTGAGGTACTGCAAACAGTCTTTGAATTCTTTACTTGTTAAGTGGAGCTGTTCCAGTACCAACCTGTTTGCTTCCTTTCAGAAAGAAGAATCTGTGGGAAGCTCTATCAGTAGGGTAAATCTAATGATTAAAAAGCATTACTTTTATCTTTGAATGGGGTGTTGAAGTTGATGACACAGTTGCTAGGTCTTAACCTTGGTTTTTAATGTGTCTTACCTAGGCACAGAGGGCATCACTACTTCGGGTATACTTGGATCCCTTAAGTCACATGTTTAGCATAGTCATGGAATAGAAGTGACTCAGGAAGTGGAACAAGCACATTTATATTTCTCCAGAATACACAGACTATATGCAGATAAAACATTTGGTGGGAGCAGGGTGGGAGAGCATAAGAAGGAGGCTTCTCACTTGTGGGTTGTGTTGCTTTCTCCTCCTAGATTTTCAACAACAATGGATCAGCTGAATTTTCTTTGACAACTAATGAAACCTTTCGCGTCACTCCAGAGTATATCGGCTCTCAGCTGCTGCTGAAATTGAAGAGAATGGCAGAAGACTATATTGGCATGCCTGTTTCGAAGGCGGTCATCTCTGTGCCAGCAGAGTTTGATGAAAGGCAACGGAATTCTACCATTAAGGCAGCTAACATTGCAGGTGATGTATCCTTATTCTGCTGTTTTTCTAGGAAACCTTAAGGTCTATTTCTTCATCAGTAAAGTCTTTGGGGAGGGTATAGATATAGCAAATAGGTGATGGAGGACCTCAGAAGGGATTTTTGGGTTTTGCAGACCATTAACAGTTGTGAGGGACAGCAGAGAACTCTGGGGTACCAACAGGTGCAGCAGGCTAGTGCAGATGTAGGTAGCTAGAAGTAAGTTTTACTTCAGGGAAAATAGTCTTTTTGGCAATCTCCAAATAGAGAGTCAATGCAGAGCACCCTTGGACAGTAATTTAAACAGAAATAGAGCATGTGAAGTCAGACTCCTTAGCAAGGTTTCTCTGGAAGAAATGTGCTTAGGCAAATCACAGTTCATGACTTTACACTGCTGCTGAAGTAGTACTGCTTTAGGCTTAAGTAAGGAAAAGAGTTCATTGAGTATTACTACTTAGAAAACTATTTCCTTTAAGTCTGACATTTTACTTAAGGTAAATTTGGTTAAAAAGCCCAAACAACCAACTTATGGTAAATGTTACTACAATGTGAGAACTGTGCTTTTCTCAGGTGTATACCTGACTGTTGCTTGGGATCTTTGCTCTTTGCAGGGCTAAAAATTTTGCGAGTCATCAATGAACCCACAGCTGCAGCTATGGCTTATGGACTCCACAATGCTGATGTGTTTAATGTTCTGGTGGTGGATTTGGGTGGAGGAACTTTGGATGTGTCTCTGTTGAACAAGCAGGGAGGGATGTTCCTCACACGAGCCATGGCAGGTGAGAAAACTCCTTTACTCCTCAAAGAGTGGGGGGGGAAAGAAAAGGTGCACCTAAAGTCACATTATAGGGGCTTTTAAAACATACCAGCCTTATTGCAAAGTCTTCTCTGAACGTGTTCTTGTCTGCCTTTCATGCAAAATTAGGTTTGTGACTGCAGTGCTATCTGCTTGTGTTGCCTTCAGTGAACAAGTTTTGATATGAGCTGCTGCTCAGTCCAGTAAGAGTGGAACAGCAAGGCATAATTCAGGAGCTTCATTTAGACAGAGACCCACTAAGTGAATTCGAATATTGTTCAATGTGGATGAAAATCTGCAGGACATTTTTCTTAACTATTGAATGGAAAGCAATTGTTTTGAAAGGTTTTGGAAACACAGTGCAAGAATATTCTTTCAGTAGAAACTGGTTATGTATACTCTCCTGCTTTAGGCAGGGTATATATACATGTAGTTCAGTGGCATGTGTGTTTTCATGTGGGTGCATGAAAGCGTTGAATAACTTGAAACTGCTAGAACAATAATCCTGATAAAGCTTTACTGTGGAAGTGCTAAGAGAAAAATTCATTCCAGGCAGAGAGGGCAATTTGAAACTGGGAATTCTAGCTGGAAAAAAAAATTGCTGTGAGAGGTTGCACTTCGGTCACAGGGTTCCATCTCGAAATTACATGGTTTCTTCCTCAGAGTTAACAACCATGGCTTTTTCCTGTTAGAGTGTAGCAGGGCAGTTCCAGGGGAAAAACATTGATGGGAGTAGATTCTGAATTTGCTGCTAAATAAATTCTGGAAATTACTACCCATCACCTGTTCTTCAGTGGACAACAGTTAATGAAACCTATTTTCACAGCTCTGTGAGCTCTTGCACTATGCTTATGGTCCTATTGTCATTGTTCTGGCCCTCAAGCACCATCTCCCAGTAAAAGAAAAGATGCGTTCTGAAGCTTTGAGGGTGATCTGTCTGATGCCTTCTATTCTGATGTTTCAGGTAACAACAAACTTGGAGGACAGGATTTTAATCAAAGATTGATGCTGTATTTATACAATCAGCTCCATCAAATGTATGGTTCTCTGCCAGCAAGAAAAGAAGAAATACATCGCCTCAGACAGGCCGTGGAAGCAGTTAAGTTAAACCTAACTGTTCATGAGACAGCTACACTAAGGGTGTTGTTGACTATGCCAGAAAGGAAGCCTACGAAAGAACTTCCAGTTAGTGAGGTAAAACCAAACACTGTGCTAAAAGACGAGCCTTCACAAAGAACAGAAGACCTGAAAAATCCTGGAGACTCTTCAAAAGTAGAGAACAACTTTGTCAAAGTTGTGTTTGAAACAGAAATCTCTAGGAAGCTGTTTGAGACGTTAAATGAGGACCTTTTTGAGAAGATTCTTGTGCCCATTGAACAAGTATTGAAGGATGGCCACCTCCAGAAAGCAGAAGTGGATGAAATTGTGTTAGTGGGAGGCTCCACCCGGATTCCTCAGATACGCAAAGTTATTCAGGATTTCTTTGGAAAGGAACCTAACACCTCTGTAGATCCTGACCTAGCAGTTGTAACGGGAGTGGCTATCCAAGCAGGAATTGTTGGTGGCTCCTGGCCACTTCAAGTCAGTGCTATAGAAATTCCTAATAAGCATTTACGGAAGACTAATTTTAACTGAAAAGAAACTCTTGCCCATTGCATCCCACCACTCCAAAAGGGTACTCTGATGGTGCATACATACCTGACTGGTGGTAGAGCCTAATCTTAGCCGTGTTACATTAGCTTTTTATCTGTTCCAGTGAGGTGTCACTGGACACCAAACTGTGTTAAAGCTAGATGTTAGTTTAAAGGTACGACTGATTTCTGAAGTTCTAACGTGTTCTGTCTTTGTCTGTAGATTGGATATTGGATGAAATGACAATGCTAGTGGTGACACACCCAGGTTTTCTTGCTAAATTTTCTTAGCAAGTCCCTAAGAGGGGTATGTTTTAAAATATAAAGGGAGTGCAGCCAAAGGTGAATGATAATGTGGTTATGGTACTGTAGGTGTTCCCAGGTCCAATATATTTACTCTGAAAGAATGTGAAGCAGTGTTAATGCACATAGCACTAGCAGTGTTCAGCTTAAATTTATTTATTAAATTGAGTCATTTGAGCTTTTAAGCACCTTTCTAAAAGGCATGTTGCAGCTTGAATGAAACTTAGGCATTCACTTGATTCTTCTGCTGTTCATAACAGCATAATGGTATTGCTGAGGCTGTATGGCAAATTGTCTCATGTTTCAGCCAAACCATATTGAAACTTGTGCTCTTGCTGCTGTAGAGTTACTTAGTGTGTCTGCAAGGGCTTACTTTTGATCTGGTTTTGATGGTTGTCATACTGGTGCTGCTGTCGTACCACTGATGTTCTCCACAGAGAACAAGGGCGTATTGCCAGCCACATATACCTCCCCCTGCCTGGTTTGAAAAGTGCAGTAAATTTATGTATCTTAAAGCCACACCTGAGTATCTTCCCTTGAATTTGACCAACACAAATTTCATTGTTGCACATCTACAAGCACTTGATGTCTTTCCTCTGGAGTACCCCAAGCTGTACTGTTCTTGGGGAGCAGGTGTGGGGCAGAAGGGATTGTCTGATGAAGTCTAGTTCCTGTAGTCCTAGGAAGTGACAATTCACCCAACTATTTCACTTTCTGGCTCATATCTCTGGTTTAAGTTGGTTTGTATTCCCACTCTAAGCTGAACATAGAGATTGTAGCTGTTCTTTTGGGAAGGAAGCAAGGTGTATAACTCGGGATTTGGGGTAGCACTTCTTAGGACTTCATTTTAAGCAAATGATTTGCTACCAGCTATATAGCAGATGAATGAGAAGAAAACGATGATCTGGGGGGAAAAAAAAAACGGGTGACAGTTCTCTTTGGAGGGTTAAATCAACACTTGAAGGTCAGCTGAATTATTCTGTGTGGAACTTTATACAGTCAAAACACATCTTTCATCTTAGGCTGGCTTCAGCGTCCACCAACCCAGACTTTATCAGGAAAGCTCTAGTAACAGGTGGTTCTAAACATCTTGTATTCTGCAGAATAATTTTGTTTGTATTAAGCTTGCCAAGATAAAGCGTGGGGCTTAGATTTATTGTTTAACCTATAACTATATTCAAATAGGCTTGTTATTCGCCTGGCAGCAGGCCTTACTTATGACACTGCCATAAATCAAATGTGCCAATTCAGCTGTTTGCATAGGCATTGTCTAAACAAATCTTTGAAGTAATCCAATTAAAAACCTCTTAAATTGAATCACAGTTGCACACAACCATTCCATCAGCATTGTTTCACTTCACAGAGGATTCCCAAAATGCTGCTAACATCTGTTTCATTTCCCTGAGTTGAAAACCAAAGTGATTTTTTTTTCATTTGAGGATTTTTTTTCCTTTGTACCTCTTTCAAGATGACCTGTGTCTGTATGGAACCTCCAGTATATGAAACTCCTGCGTTGAAAGAAGTGCCTCTTCAGTGAAATCCTGGATGAATGGCAATACACAGTATGGTTCTCAGATGCAGTTGCTATTTGGGGCCTTTGCTTTGCAGATGCAAATATATGTGTTGAATTCAACATACATTCCAGTGTCTTTGGAGTCACTGTGGCCTTTTGCCCTCTGTAAATTCATCTCAAAGTCTACTGGAGTTACAGTAGGCCTTCAGTCTTCTTTTTTTTGAATGCACTGTGTAAAATGAACAGACCTGTGTAAAAATAGAAGCACGTCACACTGAAATTATTAAAAGCTTTCTGCAAATCTGGGACAAGGTAGGTAGGAGTGGGAGAAACTTTTTAAACTGTTAAACTCTCAGTGCAAATAAATGAAGTGGGTGGGGAGAGGGTTTCTTTCACATACTCCTTCACTCTGGAGGAGTTAAATCTTTTTCAGTGTTAATGTGGGAGTCAGAAGGGTGAGTTGTTTACTTGTTAAAAAAATTAAATTCACAGAAGGGTATTTATTCAGATTTCTATACAGATTTTAATAGAGAAGTTACTGTACATTGGATATCTCACAATGCATCTTTATTTATTAAATAACTTTCCTGAACCCCGCAATCAAGTTATTTATTTTGTATCTTTGGGTTTTAATACTGTATTTTGGCACAAACCATTGAATTTTAAAGGTGACTCTGTTAAGTGGCTATTTCCAGGTATGCAAGTGTACTGCTTACCAAAAGTCTCTCTTTAAACAAATTGATATTTGAAGGCTGAAATCTTTCTACAGTCCTTGAAATCTGAGTATGGTTGCCTGTGGTGCTGGGTATGTAACAAATTTATATAGCTAAAGCTTGTCTTGCAAGTTGAAATTCTGGAAGCCCAAGATGCCTAACCAATTGTATGTTCCAATGCAGATGATGAAATGCATTTTATAAATAACCTTTTAGAATGTTTTTAATAAAAGCAATTTCTGTCCCTTGGACATGTTTTTGTTTCAGTGTCTCAGAGAAATCTGTAACAGAGCTGTTAACGGATGAGGTCATAATCCCTCAGCTTGTCAAGGTGTTGCTGGAGTGACAGATCTTCTCTGGGATGTGGCACAGATAACTGTAAAGAACTGGGATATGAAGGGGAAAAAAACCCTTTCTCCTCAAGCTGCAGTTTGGGGTGGGAGAACAGAACTGAAGAAGAGTGCAGGTTAGTACAAGGAAATCAACTATGGCTGGCAAAATGCAGAAATGTGTTTATTCCAGCAAGGAAAAAAGCAATTCCCCTCAACTGTCCAGTTTCTCCTGTGATACTGCCCGAAAAGTGCAGAGCAAGGGCTAGAAGCAGGGCTGAGGGAAGTGACACCAGAAAAGATGCTGCCTGTGGGATTTTTGACTGCTGTAAGGAAGGAATTTGAAGCAGAGCATGAGCAGGTTCTGCTTCGTGCTTCTCCCTGTGAAAAGGAAAAAGAGTCACGGTGTCCTTTTGAGCCTTATTCTTACTTTAGACTCTGCCCTGACACCCTGGCTGACCCACCCTTCCCAAGCAACCTAGCCGGAAAAGGAGGCCAACCAGTAGCTCCTCAAAGGGATGAACAGTTGGGTCCCTTGTGCTATCTCCAGCCAAGTGAAGGTCTCCTGCCCTGTCAGAAGGCCCTTTGAGAACAGCCCAAGCACCTCCTGAGGGGTCTCAGCATTTAGTGGCCCATATGGGGCGAAGCCTTTCACAAGGTGTTGAGGGCCTGTGAATAGCCCCACAGGATGAGACTGGGATCTGATCTCCAAGTGCAGGAGAATTGCTGTTAGGAGGAGACAGGGCAGGAGGCAAGGTACATGCTGAGCTGACCTGCAGGGCTATGACTGGCTTCGTGCTATCAATCACTGGAGCTAACTGGTGACCTTGTGTCTGGTGAGCTGTGTCAGGTACTGCAAAGCCTGAATTAATGTTGAACTTGAGGCAGCCAGGTGGTCGGTCCCTCTTTGCTTCTTAGATAGATAGAGCCTTTCTGACATCAGGCGTGTGAGAAGAGCAGAGATTGCAGACCCTGGGTGATATTCTTCCAACAAGATTGCCTTTTCCTGCCTACCCCAGGCCTGTTAAGATGGCTTACTTTGGTAACCTGTCGCTGCGTGCAAACATAGCAGGAGCATATCATGCTGCTTCTGCCTCCACTGCACGTCCTTTTTCAGAGTATAGCTATACATGAGGGCTACAGCTGAAAGAGAAGGAATGGCTGTTTGGCTTTTGCTAACACTAGCAAAAGTGACATTTTCTGTTCTCTCGCACTTTGCAATTATTCAGTCTGCAGCTTTTCCCAGCCATGGTCTGCAGGTAGTCTGAAGCTGTAAGCCCACCAATAAGCACAGAAAAACCTACCCATAAATAAAAAAATCACATAAAGTAAAAAAAAAACTTTAAAATCACTACTGAGGATGCCAGTCCTTAGATTATTTCCTCTGCACCTTGCAAAAGGGGTTGGCCTCTGAGTTGCTGAAGTCTACCTCCCCCAGCCTAAAACTTATTAATCAGTTTAGGAATGGCACTCACTTCAATCCTTTCAGGTTCCTCCTGTGATACTTCCAGGTAAGGGTGAGTTTAGAGAGAAGCATGAAGGTGGGTAAAGGATGGGGTCAAGGCTGGGGGGAAGCAGAGCCCCAGAAGAGCCTGCCTGTGGCACTTTGAATGTGCCGGGGAAGTTACATGTTGGTAAGAGAAGGTTCTGTTCTGAAGGTACTGGTGGCCTCACTTGGGGGAAAGGAGGAAAGCAGAGATGAAAAGCAGAAAGCTGTTCTCTCTCCTGAGGAACAGACTCACACACTACTCTCTCCAGGACTTTCAAAAGGTAATAGTTACTTGGGCAGGGCTGTTCCTAATCTAAAATCATTTTGCTTTGTATGATAGTATATTTACTTGCGTTTTGCAGCCGATAATACTCTGTAATGTAGGAAGACAGGTTTTCTTTTTTACCTTTAGGAGAAGATAGGGAATCATTCACGTTCACTGTAGTAGAATCACATCTTTGAGGAACTTTGTTCAGAGAGCCTCCATTGCTTCTCACCGCCTTTCTAAAACAGCAGATAGTTTTGCTTGCTATCAGTCAGGCAAGAAATTAAGATCCTACTTGATACTAACCAGGTGTCAAGACTAAAGTAATATAGCAGGGCTGTAGCCTGAAATTTTATTCATGTACCTAAGGGAGGATGTTTGGGGTTTTTTTAAGCAGTTGATGGGATCTTCTCTGAGTTTTTGAAGATAAGGCTGCAAGTGATTAAGTAGGCATTACATTTGAAGAGTTACAGGGACTGTAATAAAAATGAAAA